GAGGAGTTCGGTTGTAAGAGGTGTAGTGTACTGTTATGATACTGTTCTGAGAATATAGTTTTGTTCCGATGTAAGAGATATAAGTCTGTTCTGATAAAGATGTTCTGTTTTTTCTTATACAAACTGATAGAGAAGATAAAGACGTTTATCCTTCTCCTTCTTCTTCTTAAGCAGGTTTCCATTCCTCTCTGATAATGACCTCTCCATCTCTTCCAGGAGACGGGCTCATCCAGCAAAGCGAGCTGCAGAAGGTCATGAAGGCCTGCATGGAGGAGAACGGCATGAAATTCAGCGACGAGCAAATCGAGGACCTGACCCTGGCGTTGTTCGAGGACGCCGACACGCAGAGGACGGGCGCCATCACCTACGAGTCCCTGAAGGCGCAGCTGGAGAAACACGATGGCTTGCTGGAGAACTTGTCGATCAGGTGAGCTGATGGGGGCTTCTTCTTCGTGGTTTTAAAGAGGTTTTCACCTGATGTCGCCGTGGTTCGGGGATTGTTCACATATTATGTCAGCAGGTTTTTGGGACTTTTGACCCCCCCCCCCATGTGCTGACGTCAGATTTTCCTCACCCCCCCCCTTGTTAAGTAAAATAAACATATTCAGCTTAAACAATACCGTTGAGTTTTCAAAACAAAACGAACGCTGTGCAATTAGTGGAGACAATTTCCAGTAACATCTTGTACTTTCAGATGGGTGGGAATCCAGCAAAAATGAAGGGGGTGTAAGCATGAAAATACCATGAGTAGCCCATACACCAAGTTCATAATAATTTCTCAAAATAAAATTCTGACACATGCTGACGTAAGTTTATGACCTGACCCCCCTCTCCCCCCCCCTCCCCCCGATTTTCATGTCAGCTTTAGTCAGATTTTCCATACCCCCCCCCCCCCCCCCTAGGCCGCTGACATAATATGTGAACGTTCCCTCATGGCTAGTGGATGTTGTAGTAGGGAGGAAGAGGAGGAGGAGAAGCGAGAGGAGGAACAGGAGGAGGAGAAGCGAGAGGAGGAACAGGAGGAGGAGAAGCGAGAGGAGGAACAGGAGGAGGAAGACGAGGAGGAGTATGATCATTCCTTGTCTCCCTCTCTCTTCCCCACTCGTTTTAGAATTATGTCAGAAATGAATATAACTTCTGTTGGCTCATGGTTTCTCTTCCTTGTATGGTCACCAACGACCCATGTTCTTTTCTTTGCTTAGGCCACAAACAAAAGTTAGATAACGAAGACAATCCCTATTCATAGCCGTTCTCTGCACAACAGACACGGAAATGTATAATACTTCCCTGTCGTGTTTTTGATAATTTCATGCCAGTCCTTTCTCCAGTACGTTAAAACCACACTATCTCTCTCTCTCTCTCTCTCTCTCTCTCTCTCTCTCTCTCTCTCTCTCTCTCTCTCTCTCTCGTTCTCTCTCTTGTTCTCTCTCTTGTTCTCTCTCTTGTTCTCTCTCTCTTGTTCTCGCTCTTGTTCTCTCTCTTGTTCTCTCTCTTGTTCGCTCTCTCTTGTTCTCTCTCTTGTTCTCTCTCTCTCTCTCTCTCGTTCTCTCTAACCCCAATTTGCACTTCCGTCCTCAGCATCGACCGCTGGCTCGTCCCTCCCAACATCCGGACGGAGAAGGAGTCCATCTGGAAACGCGTGGCCAAGCTAAGGCCTTATCAGCTGACGTTGCCCTACCTGAAGAACAATTACGTCTACCTGATCTTCCTGCTGGTGTACATAGCCATCAACCTGGGTCTGTTCATCTCCCGCGCCATCGAATACAGAACGGCAAATTGGTATACGATCTTCGCCAGAGCCTGTGGTGGGTATCCGTTCTTGCACACGCACACGCACACGTACATGCACATGTACACGCACACGCACACGTACACGCACATGCACATGCACACACACACACACACACACACACACACACACACACACACACACACACACACACACACACACACACACACACACACACACACACACACACACACACACACTCACGAGATGAAACACACTAATCCAAAACACACCCGGAAATCTAGTGCCTATATTTGCTAATTCATCAAGTAACGAATAATGTCCTCTTTCGATACCTGGACGATTAATAAATGAAATCACAATAATCCTTACAATCATCAGAATAAATCAATCCCCACCCGTAAACTACATTTCTTTTATATCAATGAATCACGTCCTATCAATAAGCATAACCATTTAACGTTTCTTACCACACGTTCATCCATTCACCTCCCCCCCCTCTCTCTTTCTCTCCCTCCCTCCCCCCCTCCAGGTCAATGTCTGAACTTCAACTGCATGTTCGTCCTCGTATTGATGCTGCGACAATGCATCACGTATCTGAGATCACTAGGAGCATCGGCCTTTCTGCCTCTGGACCAGCATCTCTATCTGCATAAACTCTGCGGGTGGTTGATCTTCATTTTCTCCTTGGTACACACGCTGATGCATCTACTTAATTTTTGTAAGTAGATGGTGGTGTAAAGTGGTGATTATGGTGGTTGTAGTAAGGGTGATGGTCGTGGTTTTGGTGATAATGATGGTGATGTTGATGATAGTGATGGTGATAATGAATGACAATGATGATGATGATAATACTGATAGTGATAATGATGATGATAATAATGATGATAATAATAATGATGATAATAATAATAATGATGATAATGATAATAACAGTAATAGTAGGAATAGTAATAACGATGATAATGATAATGATGGTGATAAAATTGATAATAATTTTCCTTGGTTATATATCTTCCTTCTCTTTCTTTCTTTCTTTTTTTCTTAATATGTATCTTTCCTCGTTTCTTTTATTTTCTTTTTAAACTATTGTTTTACTAATATTTCTTTTAATTTCCATAATTTTCTCTCTAATTTTCTTTTCTCTATTCTACTCTTTCACCCATTTTTCCCTTTTTTCTATTTTCTCCATTCCACTCTTTCAATCATTTTTTTTCCTTTTTTTCTCTTCTCCATTCCACTCAATTTTCCTTTATTTTTCTCCATTCTACTCTCTCACCCATTTTCCATTTTTTCTTTTCTTCATTCCACTATTTCACCCATCTTTCCCTTTTCTCTTTTCTCTTTTCTCCATTCTACTCATTCACCCATCTTTCCTTTCTTTTCTTTCCCCCCATTCTTCTTTCACCCATCTTTCCCTTTTATCTTTTCTCCATTCTACTCTTTCACCCATCTTTCCTCTTTTCTCTCTTCCCCATTCCACTCTTTCACCCATTTTCCCTTTTCTCTCTTCCCCATTCTTCTTTCACCCATCTTTCCCTTTTTTCTTTTTATCCATTCCACTTTCTCACCCATCTTTCCTCCTTTTCTCTCCCTTCTACTCATTCACCCATCTTCCCTCTTTCCTCTTTTCCCCATTCCTCTCTCTCACCCATCTTTCCTCCTTTTCTCACTCTTCTCATTTTCCCCCTTTGTCGTTCCAGCGCTGGTCGTCGCGCCGGCCTCAGACTACACTTTGGCCGAGTGGTTGTTCACGATGAAACCGGAGAAGTTTGGGCTCCTGGAGGGCATAGCTAACCCCACCGGCATCGCCCTTATGATCATCTTGACTCTGATGGTGATCTGTTCGCTTCCCTTCGTCCGCAAGTCGGGGTATTTTGAGGTGAGGATTGTTGTTTGGGGTGTCCGTTAGATGGGGTGTTCGTTAGGTGGGGTGTTTGTTAGATGGGGTGTTTGTTTGGTTGGGTGTTCGTTAGATGGGGTGTTTGCTTGGTTGGGTGTTCGTTAGATGGGGTGTTCGTTAGTTTGGGGTGTTCTTAACTTGGGGTGTCCGTTAGTTGGGGCGTCCATTAGTCAGGGTGTCCGTTAGTTGGGGCGTCCATTAGTCAGGGTGTCCGTTAGTTTGGGCGTTCGTTAGTTGGGGTATCCGTTAGTTGAGGTCAGATACCCCACAAACGAACAAACAAGTAAACAAACAAACAAATAAACCCAGCATCCCTTCCCAACAGGTCTTCTACTGGACTCATCTGCTGTACGTGGCTTTCTGGATCCTGACCATCCTCCACGGACCCAACTTTTGGAAGTGGTTTGTGGCGCCGGGGATCATCTTCGTCATCGAGAGAGTCCACCGTACGTTCAGGCTACGTACGGGCCATGGCAAGACGTATATCAGGTGAGTTTGTGTGGGTGGTGGTGGTGGGAGAAAGTACGTGTTGTTAGTGTTGTTGTATAAGAAGGTGATGTTGTTGTTTTTTGTTTTTTGTTTTTGTTTTTTTGAAAGGGATAAGGTGGTAAGAATAGGTCGATATTTTTTTAAAGCTTCATTCTTTTTTGTTTCCTGTATTTTTTTTTTCTTTAATCGGTGCGAAAATGGAGTAGGGGATGAAAATTTGTCGAAATTGGGAAATATATTTCAAGATATAATGAACCGGATAATCAATTTAAATTTAAGAAACAGCACTAATCGTAAAAAAAATATTAGTTACCTCTTATCCCATCAGAAAATAGATTAATAACCCCCCCCCCCTGGTCCCCGTCTTTAATTATTCATCTCCTGTTTACAATTAGCTCTGGTGTCCTGCTGCCGTCCAAGGTGATCCATTTGGTAATCAAGCGGCCCGGAGGTTTCCAGTTCCATCCCGGAGACTACGTGTTTGTCAACATCCCGACCATCGCTAAGTACGAGTGGCATCCGTTTACCATTTCTTCGGCGCCGGAGCAGGGAGGTAAGGAGCCGGAGTCGCCCTGTTGGTTGGTTTATGTGATGTTATAAGTTTTTTGTGGGGGGGATTTCCTAGTTGGTATATTCTTGTTTTTTTTGTTTTTTCTTTTTTCTTTTTTTACAATGGCCGAAGACGTACAGTACAGTGTCATCACAAGCATTTCATTGCAGTATTTTACGTTCAATAGAATATAAAAGAACTATTAACTTCTGCTTACTCATTATTATTATTCATATTATAACCATAAAAATAACCTAACTGAAACATAACTTCCCTTCGAAATAGACACCCATCATCCTTATATACTTCACCATAACCACCACATCACCATTCATAAAATATGGAACTACACCCTCTCTCTCAACAGACGCCGTTTGGTTGCACATCCGCGCCGTTGGAGAATGGACTAACAGGCTCTACGGATACTTCGAACGCGAGCAGTTGAGGTGTGAGAGACAGAGGTGCGAGATCCAAGGGCAAACGTCTTCTGTGTCTGTGTTTATGGCTGATGGCGAGAACGTGGAGGTGTAAGTAGTGTTTTTTTCAGGTCTTTTTTTCCGTGTTCTGTTGATATTTTTTCGGTATTCGGTATTGCTTCGTTGTTTGGTCGTTCGTTCGTTCGTTGTACCGAGGTTTGGGTTGTGAGTGTGTTGTGGGTGTTTTGTCATTGAAAATCTTATTGATATATCTACTTTCCATTAAGTTTGTAGATAACTTTGAGTTCTATCTCCTTTTTTGTTGTTTATACAGGAGGATGCATCCGAGCAGTGAATTGCATTCACACGATAATTCCAGCAAGCTTGCAATTACGAACGAAGTTGCTTCTCCAGGTAAGAGAAAAACTCATCAAAGAAATCATTTTCATTATGCCGGGTCGTTGATATCGAAAAAAAAATGTATAAAGAAATCACAATAAAACACCGTAATAATGAAACCCTTGAAGTAGAGATAAAAAATAATATTGCAATACGAATGAAAATGTTGCAGAAGGCGCGTCCTGTAGCACCGAGCAGACGGTCGAGAACGGCTACACCAACGAGGGCTTCGAACATGACACCAACGGGAACGCTGCGGTGGACCAGGAAGCAACGGCCTCTCCCCCGAAGAACTACAAGCTCCTGGCGAACCACAAGAACCAGTCGGCGCCCAGCTTGGTTCACAACAACGTCAACGGCAAGAAAGTGCTCATGAAGTCCCGATCGGTTCCTGATTTCGACAGGAAAGTTGAGAGGAGGAAGAAGAATCACATGTAAGGCTTTTGTTGTTGTTTTGGTGAAGCGACATCTAGGTTTTTTTTTCAATATACAATTAGTTGCGGGTTCGTTTAGACATGTGGAATTGAAAGAACAGAAAAAAATGATATATTATAAAAAATTTAAAAACAAAACGCTTGTTGTTATAATCTCTTCGTTCCATTAGTCTCACTCGCCATAGATGTACACGTAATGACGCCGGAAGTACTCATGCCCCTTACTTGATGTTCACAGACTGCTGAACAATTTCCGTCCAAAGTCTGACCAGAAGTTCAACCAGAGCACCTTGAATAAAGCTCTACAAGCGACTCTAGACGGCGACGTCCAAATGCCATCGAGAAGAGAGCTTGCAAAGAGCTTTAGGTAAGGCACATTTAAAAAAAAATATATATATATATATATATGTCTTATTTATTTATTTATTTTTTGTGCGTGTGCGTGTGCGTGTGCGTGTGCGTGTATGTAAGTGTGCTTGTATGTGTACTTTTATATACCCGTGCGTGTACGAATAACTGCGCACATACAAGCGTGCATCAATAACTACGCACATACAAGCATTCAATCATACCTTCATTCAGATATATCTCCCACGAACTCATTTCCACATTCATCATCTTCCCTTCTTTTCATCTCCTCCCAATCATCTCACTTTCCTTCTTTCTTTAAAAGGTACATGAGACGGAAACCGAAAATCATCACCCTAGACCTTCCATCGGAATCTGAGGGCGAGGAGGAGGAGGAGGCGGCAGTGGCAGACACCGTAGGGAAGGGTAAGGGAATCTTCTTTATTTATTTGTTTACTTATTTGTCTTTATTTTATTTATTGTTTTTTTTTTTTTTTTTTTTTTTTTTTTTTTTTTTTTTTTTTTTTTTTTTTTTTTTGATGGGGAGGAGGGGAGGGAGGTGCTTGTATAAGGACGTGGATTTTTTCGAGCTGTTGTTGTTGTTTTCTCCTTTTTTTGTGTTTGATAGTTTCTTTTCTTTTCATTCTTATTTTTTTCATTTTTCTTGTTTCTTTTATCCTTTTTTCCTTTTTCCTTCTCTCTTTTCCTTTTCCTTTTTGTCTTTCTCTTTTCCTTTTTTTCTTTTCTTTTTAATTTTCTTTTTCTTTTTCTTATTCTTATTCTTTAATTTCTTTTTCTTTCTCTTTCTCTTCTTTTTTTCTACTTTTTTCTTTTTCATATTCTACTTCTTCTTTATCACAATTTCTTTCTTCTTATTTTTTTTCTTCTGCAACAAGCCAGAGCACAGATCCCCTCCCCCTTTTAAGCTATGATAAAGATAAAGATAATGATAATAATAATAATATCAAGAATAACAAGAATAACAATAAGCAAGAAATAACTTGCAAAGGAAAAATAATAGCAATGGAAAATAACAATAACAATAACAATGGAAAATAAAACAATAACAATGGAAAATAAAACAATAACAATGGAAAATAAAACAATAACAAAGGAAAATAAAACAATAACAATGGAACATAAAACAATAACAATGGAAAATAAAACAATAACAAAGGAAAATAACTAGCCCGACCTCCCCTTCCAGAGAC